CACCAAAGCACATATAGACGTCCTGATTGTAAATATCCTCAGAGGGAACGTGCTTCGTGGCGCACGCCTGTGGATCCTGGGGAGACGAGCTGCTGTCTCACAAATCCCATCTCAGTTCATAGATGTTTCCACTGAGTTGCAAGGTTTTAGGTGTGTTTGTTTTTCATATTTCCTCCTTTACACTCTGTCCCTTCACCTTTTAGGTGAAACATGTCTCTTCATCCTGTTTCTCTTTTCATTCCAGTAACGAGATGAAAGACGAGTACCTGACCAAACGCTTCTCAAACACAGAGCTAGCAGAAAACATAAAGAGCCACTACAAGCGCGTACCGATGCTTCACATTCTTGCTCGCCACCCATTTGTCTGCTGGATTGTGGCGACGATGTTCAGCCGCAGCTTCTGTTATGAGGGTTATGGGAGGTACCCTCCCAGACTGACGCCGTTTCTCATCCACTTTTTGATCATTCAAACAAATCGCAGGCTCAAGTTCTACTACAATCAGAAGGATAATGAGCTGGTATGTGGCTTTTTTTTACATATACCTATAGTTTTATTAAATGTTGTTTTAAATTCTCTTTTCCCTTAAGTGTCATAATTTTGTAATGACTTGTTTCCACACAGAAATGGTCTGATCGCGAGAAAAAGCTGCTGACAAAGATGGGAAAGATGGCTTTCATGATGCTGGAGAGGAACACCAGTGTGTTTTTTGAAGCGCATGTGAAGGAGGTTGATCTGGAGCTGAAGGAGGTGGTGGTGTGGTCGGGTCTGTGCACCGAGCTCTGCCCTACAGTCATTCCTGGCAAGAGGACATTTGGCTTTTCTCACTTCACTATTCAGGTAAAACTCCCCCTCACAGTAAAAATAACCAAGTTTCTTTTGGCTGTTGCCTTCTGCTGGGGTTGCCAAATAGAGTGAACTTGCATGAAAGACTTTGCAATTGTTTTACACGGGATGCTCTTCCTGTCTCAACCTAGGCAGCTTCAACATTACAATGCTGACGGTTACATTTACCTGCAAACAGTGTCAGAACAAATCTGTTGATGCCGTCAGATCAGTCCCAGTGTTTCTTTTAACGTTATAAATATAAGACTCTTTAAATATAAAAAACTGCATTTTGTTCCTCTACTAGTGCGAGTGTCTACAAGTCCACAGTTCACATCCATTATTTTTTAAAGAGTTTACTTACACAGTTCTTTACCTTGGTTTTAATTTGGCTGCATACTGCTGGTGTATAAAGTTTATAAATACGCTGCCTGGCCAAGAAAAGTCACAAATGTTAATATTTTGTTAGACTACCCTTAGTTTTGATTATGGCACGCATTCGCCATGACATCGTTTCCTCAAACCTGCAAAGTCACAACTTATTTTTCTGTCCAGAGCAGCATTAATTTTTTGTCAAGATCTTGTACTGTACAAGAGAGTCTGACCACTTCGCAAAGCTTTATTCAGCACATCCCAAAGATTCTCGGTCCATGTTTGTAAATGCTGTCTCATGCTCCCTGAACCACCCTTTCACAATTTGAGCCCGATGAATCCTGGCACTGCCATCTTGGAACATGTTTGTACCATCAAGGGAGAAAAAAACAAAACATTGATGGAATAACCTGGTCATTCTGTATATTCAGGTTGTCAGCCAAACTCATTCTCTGGATACATCATATTGCTGAACCTAGACCAAGTGAAGCAACCCCAGATCATAGACCGCCCCCACAGGCCTGTGTGGTGGGCACTAGGCATGATGCTTGCATCGTTTCAGCCACCTCTCTTTGTATCCTGATGCACACTCCCCACTGTCCTTTCAGGTTTTAATAATGCGTTGGACGGTTCTTAACCCAATTTTAATAGTTTCAGCAATCTCCTTAGGTGTTTTCTCTGCTTGATGCTGTCAATAATCTGACCCTTCTGAAACAGATTAACGTGTTTTCCACAGAATGTGTCTTTTGGTTGTTTAACTAATGAGAAGCTACTCACTGAATACTGGTAACATGTCAGCTGAAACATAATCACCCATGCAGTCAATATCCAATGGGAGGCTCTTACCCATTTGTTTAGGTACATCCAGGTGGTGATTGTTTTATGTTGGCCAGATGGTGTATATGCAGCGGCTCCAGAGCGTTTTAACAGCTGGGTCCTCTGTGACCAAATATTAGATACTCATCCCTGAAAGCTGCTTTAGATTAGATTATTTTCTTTCCATCTTTAGAGTTGCAGACTGGTGTTGACATCTCATGAACTCCTGGCTGATTAATTAAGACCGGCGGTGTTTCTTCATGCTCAGGATGTTAGTTCAGTCAAAACATTTGATCTAAATTTTTGCACCATAACAGGACTAACAGACTTTAATACTCACACTGAGGCTTTTTACCTGGTCCAATAACACCTAATGATGGTGGACAGAAACATTTAGTAGGATCCAGACTCTTAACTTTAACAGACTACACTGAGTTACACGTAATTTAATTTTTAGGTCACTCATAAGTTTCACATTCAACAGTTAATGTCAGTGTTTTTGTAATGGTCAGATATAATAGAATTAAAAAAGTGGTATCTAGGATTTCTGTGTAAATTATTATTTTTTTCTACTTTAAGTTTATTGGAAAGTAATTCTGCTCAGATGTAAATGAACTTCGTTTCAGAAGGAAATAAGAGATTTTCTTTGTTTGATGTTTTACCAATTCAATTAAATTCTATCAGATTAAACATAAAAAAAAAAAACTTTTGAACACCTTAAGTCACTCTGCATTACTATCCATGATGTAAATAACTATTTTATTTTATAAGTTATTTTTGCTGTGCCTCTTGAAATAAGGATTGAATTGAACTCATATTAGTTTACTCATGTTTAATCTAAATAAAATAGTTCTGAGATGTCTGACGCATGTATTATATTCATTAAAGTAACACACAAGGCTCACAGAAGTCGAACTTTAAAGAAATATACGTACATATCCTTTATTCAATTTTCTTACAGTTTGTGAAAAACGGCATCACCTTGAAACCACGTTGCTGTTGTTTCACCTTTGTTTTCCTCTTTTTCAGGAGTTCATGGCTGCCCTGTATGTCTTCTTAATGTTTTACTTGGAGTCTAAGAACGTTCTGGAGTCCACTTCATCCTTCACATTGAGATATAACAACAAATCAGCCGCAGGTCTTGTACAGTGCGCTCTGGCTCGAACCTGCAACTCCTCTTCAGGCAGATATGACATGTTCCTACGTTACCTGTGCGGTTTGCTGTCCCCTGCATGCCACTACAACCTTCTCCGGGGTTTCCTGTGTCGACACAACACACCAAAGGTGGCTGGACTGGATGAAGTGGAGCGGCTGCTGGAGCAGGCCATTGAAAACGCTCCTTCAAGCAGTTGTCAAAGTTTAAAGGAGTGCCTTAGAGAGATGCTGCAGAGCGATGAATGAGCTGAGATGGACTGTTGTTTAACATGGATATAAGGGATAAAAGAGGAGCACCGCCTGTACTGTTTTAGTTGTTTTAAATTTCAGTCCCATAAAGCCATTATCAAAGATTTTAATAGATATTATTTAAGTCTGTTAACACTGATTGTCATCAAGTTACAAACATTAAAGCACATCTGCCTTTTTTCCTGAGATAAAACAGTGGTTTGTAATTGTCCAGCTTCACCTAACAAAACGATTTTTAGGCATTCTAGTCATATTTACAGAACACCCGTAGACTTTATTATTGCACATTACATTGTAGGCCTGTCGCATTAAACAACAAATCAATTAATCGCATGACAAATGAAAATGATCAACCTCATTTTCATTTATTGGCTTTATCGTTTCTTTGTCTCCCTCTTTCTACTGAAGACACTGGATGACAAAAAGCTCATCTCCTGTGCTCTTCACTGACCCCTCCCTTTCTCTTTAAACTCTGTTTTAACCATCCAATAATTGGGTTTTTGGATCGTTAAAAGCAGCTAAGCTACGAGCTAAGCTAACAGGCCGACCTCGGAGAAAAACCTTCGTCTCGTCAAAGCTCCAGAATTCACGGTTGAAACCTGTGCCTTCGTCTAAAAAGTTATTTTTCTCTGCAAAAAGTAGCTGAGAACTTGTTTACTGATTTTTTTAAATAAAAGCTTTGTGTGACAAATGCCATGCTAAAGAGCTCAAACCACACCGAGGGTCCTCCATTTTGAAAACCGAAAAACAGGAAGCAGAGACAGCCCATGTCACGTCAAGGGGCCTCCCTCCCATTTTTCTTGCTGGTAGCTTCCTCACTATCCATCCTTCGGTTCAAACAGCCGTATACTGCCATCCAGTGTCAAAAAAAGGTACTACACTAAAAAATTATCCAACATCCATACCATACAATTTTATTTATAGAGCACTTAAAACGTTGGTTACGTACTGACCCCAGATTCTATGAGTATAGGAGTAGCCCTTCGGCTGTCACTGGTGGGTTTTATCCCGATATGTGGAGCATCGCACTGAAAAATTTAGTCCACGCCCACCTGCTGTGTGGGCCCCACCCGGTCCGTATAAATTACGTTAAGAGTGGGTAATCGGCTCCCAAAAAGCTTTTTCTTCAGCCATTTAGGAGCCAGTGAGGCCCAATGCTTAAAGGGCTACGCCTATAATCAGAATCTGGGGTTACAGTACGTAACCAACGTTCTATTTCGTATAGGCTTCGCACTTTAAGGCTGTCACTGGTGGGTTAAGGGCAAACCAGATGTTGTCCTCGCCTCACTGGGTCCAGTCAAACACCATATGAAGCAGAAGCTTGCCCAAAAAACGTCTTGTCACAGGAATAACTTCACATTCTCTGTCACCTTGTGGTTGTGAGAGAAATAATAAGGGTGACTAGAAAAGTCATTTAAAGCAGCTGTTATCAGAGCTGCAGGATTGTAAGAAATGTGATGAGAAATATAATTGACTTCATTCTGCTGCACCTTGTGAACACGCATCAATACATTTGATCTTTCCCTCACCCTTACTGGTCCAGCTTCTTATATTTTGTGGAAGAATTTTTCTTTCCAGTGCCACAGCTCATCAAGTCTTTATGCATTGTATTACATTTTAAATTGTCATTTTATCGGCTTATTTAAAGTACCTGTTAAAGAACTATAGAATGCAGCAACGTAAGCTCTTAACTTTTTCAGTAAAGTAATTCTGGAGCTGTTTCACCTGCTGGCTCCACCTGCTACCTGTACAGTATTTTTCAGAGTTCACCAAGGCTGTTTTATCACCGTTGCTCTGCACAATTTGATGACACCTGGTCTATGTAATCAAATGATCATTGAAACCGTACCTGAATAAATCTATCCTTTTTTTGTCCATGTGAGATTATCTCAGTGATACACATAAATATGACTCCAAACTGAACTCGTGCAACTATTTGTTGAAGCATGAATTAATTTTGTTATTTCATAACCACATGTATTAATTTGAACAACTCCAGCTGCAGCAGTTCTTAGCACAGCTTAAAGCTCCACATTTGCTCCCTCTGTACCTGGATAGTTACTGCAGCCCTGAGGGACTCCTCCAGAGCAGCAGCACCTGACTCTTTGCTCTCGTCCTCTGTCTGCCTCATCACTGCATCATATTCTGTGTTGTGATTTAACAGGAAGTGTTTGACAAGGTTTGTTGTGTTGCCACAGCTCTTTGCAGATTTTCCACAAAGCGCTTCAGTTTGTGGAGATGAACTAGCTCCACATGACTCTGGTCAGCTCCACCGCTGCGTCTACAGACTGACACTGACGAGCAGTGTGCTGCTCCGCTTAAACGCATTACGCACTTACTCAGGTGGAAGAAAAAGTAGTTCCCTCCAACCTGTGTCATTTAGACAAGATGTCAATAGTTTAGTTACTTTCCATCATGTTCCCATGTAATAGCTGAAATGAGTGAAATATCAAAAGTATCGCTAGTTTGATTCAAGAATCGATTATGGAGCGAAACGTTATGTCTCAAATAGTATCGATGTCTTGTATCGATCCGCACAGCACTACTCCGCCTAGTTTCTTCTTCTTTGGTTTTATTCGTCCGCAGCTGGAGCCTGTCTTTAAGCTGGAGTCTGTTCAGGACTCACACGAGTCTTGTACAATGTCACGATTCTGACACCAGTTGTGCTTTTGCTTCCGGTGCGGCGATGGACAATACATGACAAAGACAAGGATCTCTTTCATGAACTTTACTTCCTCGACATGTAAGTTACAATGGCAGCTGAGTTGTTCTGACTCCAACACTGTGTACTTTCAGTCTCTAGCTCTGGCACAGACAGCATTTAGCCATGTCCATGCTGCCATGAAAAACTAAATCATACACTAAATGAAATGTGTCACGATCCATGGCTGCGATGCATTTACTGACCTAAAGGCTCGGAAAACACAAATAAAATACAAAACCAAGCTTAAAGGCTGATAAACAGTTTAACCAGCCTTACAATAGTTTTATTGACAACAGTTTGTGGCTCATCTGTGCTCACTGGTGTGTAACCGCTGCTCAGCTTCAGGTTCAAAAAGATAATTGTTTACATGTAAACAACTGTTGCCTGGAAACTGAAAAGTTCTATACCGGAAGTAACTGCGTATCGAGTCTTCGGTTTTTTTTTGGGGTTTTTTTGCATATCGAGTTAATGTTTATTAATCTCAGAACTTCACGCGCACATCTGACGTCATGCATTTCGATGACGCTGTCTTTTGATGCGCACATCTGACGATGACGTATCAAAGGACAGCGGGGCGTCAGTCAAAGTCTATATATAGGGGGTGCTGTGTTTACTGAAATCATTTTCTGAAAGTCGGTTTGGAGTTGAACACGCATCAGAGAAGTCTGTAACTGTTCAATTTTCACTCACTGTAGGAAAAATGGAAGCACAAGGATCCTTTCTGCAAGCTGTTGGCGACGCAGCGACCAAGAACCCGCTGCGGTTCTTCACAGTGGCCACGACGCTGAGAGTTTTGTCGAAAGTAGGTGCAATCAGCAAGTACACCACTTACACGGAAGAAAGCTCATTCTTCCTGGAATATCTGGTTTCTACAACTCTGGATGGACTTGTCGTGCCTGGGAAGTTCCACTTTGGCACGAAACAGTCCAGAAAAGCGTCGATAAAGGCGGTTCGGAATCTCCAAGATACCTGCTCCGCCGCAGAGCTGAGAGACGTGGTCCATAAACTGGATCTGGGTGTCGGCGCTAAGATTGTTGAAGTTTTACGTAACATCATCAAAAAACTTCTGGAAACCTTTGAGAAACGGGGGAAATACCTTCTGAACATGGTGTCTGCAGGGATTTTCCTCTTTGAAGTGGCAAAACTAGTCGCAGGAATTGGAATCGTACTGCTGATGTTGGGGGGTAATGTTTTGATCCAAACTCCAGACCAGTCCATCTGTCTTACCCGGGTTACAGTGCAGGATGACGGGGAGCCGTTTCCTGACTGACTGGTGGCAGGTCTTACCTGGGTTCAATGCAGGATGACGGGGAGCCGTTTCCTGACTGACCAGGTCATGGTGGAGCAGGTGGTTCAACCAAAAGCATTCATGCGGGCAAATGTTACCCGGGTTAAAGTGCAGGATGACGGGGATCCGTTTCCTCACTGCCTGAAGACAGGTCTTGGTTACAGTGCTGGATGACGGGGAGCCGTTTCCTTACTGTCCGAAGACAGGTCTTACCCGGTTTAAGGTGCAGGATGACGGGGAGCCGTTTCCTGACTGACTGGGTCATAGTAGAGAAGGTGGTTCAACCAGCGTTCACAGCGGCAGGTCTTGCCCGGGTTGCAGTGCAGGATGACGGGGAGCCGTTTCCTGACTGCCCGGTGGCAGGTCTTACCCGGTTTAAAGTGCAGGATGACGGGGAGCCGTTTCCTGACTGACTGGGTCATGGTGGAACAGGTTGATGAAACACTAGCATTCACAGCGGCAGGTCTTACCCGGGTTACAGTGCAGGATGACGGGGAGCCGTTTCCTGACTGTCTGGTGGTAGGTCTTACTCGGTTTAAGGTGCAGGATGACGGGGAGCCGTTTCCTGACTGACCGGGTCATGGTGGAGCAGGTGGTTCAACCACCAGCATTCATGCTGGCAGGTCTTACCCGGGTTGCAGGATGACGGGGATCCGTTTCCTGATTGCCCGAAGACAGGTCTTGGTTACAGTGCAGGATGACGGGGAGCCGTTTCCTGACTGTCCGAAGACAGGTCTTACCCGGTTTAAGGTGCAGGGTGACGGGGAGCCGTTTCCTGACTGACTGGGTCATAGAGGTGCAGGTGGTTCAACCACCAACATTCACTCCCACCACTTCGCTCATGAAGTCTCACGCTCTACAGTCTCACTGACTGGAGAACGTGTGAACTTCAGTGAAGTGGTACGTACGTCTCTCAGCCATGGGTTTTTCTCCGAGTCCTTCGGTTTTCTCCCACAACAAAATAATCCCTGGTGTTCTAGTGGTTAGGATTCGGCACTGCCGCGG